AGTGTTTATCGCTAAAATAAATGTATGGAAATGTGTGATATCCATGAGCGATGGATAATGCAGCGGTAGACCTCACGCTATAGGCGACATATGGTGGTAGACCTCACGCTATAGTAGCACCGTTATTCTTGTATTTAGTTCTTGAAGTATATAAATGTTGTGTCTATTTTGACATGCAGTTAAATAAATGTATTAGTAACTAATTTTTTTATTTCAAACTTTTTTCATGTGTATATTACTTGGACTAATTTTTCCCATAAAAATTTATTAGCAAATTTCTACTGTTTCTTTAACCCTACAATAGAGAACACTCGAATATAGAAAAAAGTCTGTGGATCATTATGGTACCCTGTTGCTCATAATGTCAAATTGAATAAATACTTTTATTATCTTATCAAGTAAGTAACTGTATTGCTTCACTTAAGAAACTCCAAAAATTGCTAAAACCTTTAGGCTGAGTTCATTCATATTATCAATTTCAAATTACAAACTAAAGAAGTTTGGAAAGTCTACTGCAACCTAAGGTAATCAAATTTAAAAAAAACAAATGTGTTTTGCCAAAGATAACATTGAAATTATATTTCTTCATTACTTAAATTGACAGTTTTTTCATATTATTTCAGCAAATGATTGATTATTACAGTGCTTTATGGTTTAGTGAAATTTAACATGCCAAGTTATTTTTTTTCAACTGTAAAGAAGCAGGTTAGATCTGGAAAGCTGGGGAAAATGAACAACTGGAGAGAATCTGAGAATAATACTGTTTCAATGGGAAGGATACATGAGCTGGAAGAAGTAGATTTGAACGACTACCAGGTCAAAAAGAATGAAAAAAGTAATTTTTAGACAGGATTATAATTACATCTGTTGTTTTTTTAAATTTTATCTGCTTCATGTTTTATGTAAATATAAAGAAATATTAAATGTTAGGCAAATACAATTATAAGCTGAATTTGAAATTCTAGTATATTTTTCCTGCTAACCCTAATTTTGAAAGGTTGTATTTACTTTTATGTGTGATATAAATAGATTATTTAGGAAGAAGAATTGTTAGAAAAACAAAAACTCGTCAAATGATTATTGTGGTATTATCTTAATAAAAACTCATTGGATGATCAATTTTGTTTTTTTCTTTATAGTGAAAGGAATTTTCTAGTTTAAAAATAATATAATGTACACCACAAAAACAAAAATGTTTTTCAACATTTTATATTCTATATTTAATCACTGTTTTAGATAGGGTTAGCATTTTTTCTGGATTGCATCTACCCAATACTATGACACCTTGGGATCATGAATGTGCTATAAAATAGACAATCAAATCCCACTATATAGTCAGACTAGAGTAGTCCAAAATTGGCATTGGTGCCATTGACTAGGAACCTTCTCTCAAGTTTATCAGTTCAAAATTAGGACAACTGTACAAAGATATTTCTTGTGTTTGGGAAAATTTAGAAGCAAAGAAATATGTGCCTGGAGTGTAGCAGTGGATTGATGAAGACCTCGAGACAGGGTGAACTGCTGTCTGCTTCTACGTATCAGGCAGAGGCCATCCTTTAAAATCTAATAACAGAAGTGGAATATTGTAGAAAAAATAGGTTGGTCAAATAATTGTTGTTGTTCTTTCTCCAACCAAAAGATTGGTCAGTGGTTTATAGAAAATAGGTTGGTCAAATAATTGTTGTTGTTCTTTCTCCAACCCAAAGATTGGTCAGTGGTTTATAGAAAATAGGTTGGTCAAATAATTGTTGTTGTTCTTTCTCCAACCAAAAGATTGGTCAATGGTTTATAAAAAATAGGTTGGTCAAATAATTGTTGTTATTCTTTCTCCAACCCAAAGATTGGTCAGTGGTTTATAGAAAATAGGTTGGTCAAATAATTGTTGTTGTTCTTTCTCCAACCAAAAGATTGGTCAATGGTTTATAAAAAATAGGTTGGTCAAATAATTGTTGTTGTTCTTTCTCCAACCCAAAGATTGGTCAATGGTTTATAGAAAATAGGTTGGTCATATAATTGTTGTTGTTCTTTCTCCAACCCAAAGATTGGTCAATGGTTTATAAAAAATAGGTTGGTCCAATAATTGTTGTTGTTCTTTCTCCAACCCAAAGATTGGTCAATGGTTTATAAAAAATAGGTTGGTCATATAATTGTTGTTGTTCTTTCTCCAACCCAAAGATTGGTCAATGGTTTATAAAAAATAGGTTGGTCCAATAATTGTTGTTGTTCTTTCTTCAACCAAAAGATTGGTCAATGGTTTATAAAAAATAGGTTGGTCAAATAATTGTTGTTGTTCTTTCTCCAACCAAAAGATTGGTCAATGGTTTATAAAAAATGAGTATGATTTATATGCGACACTTTTTAATGTGATCTTTTTTTTTCCTCTCAGTTTGGAAGTATGAAACTGATGCAGCTAACAGACCTAAAGCACCATGTCCTAATATTAACATTTGGGAAGAGCGAAAAGCAAAACAAGATGCTCTCCAAGAACTGATTCCATCTTCCATTGAAGATGAAGAAGCAATGATCTGGAAGGCTGTAGAGTTAAGCAGAGCTCAAGCTGTGGAGGATGAAGAACTTAGAATGTAAACATACTTAATTCATTGTAGTTTTAAATTATAATTAAGTAATATAAATTGTAAGTTTGGCAAGTTTATTTGAAGTTAAGTACAAAGCTACACAATGGGCTATCTGTGCTCTGCCCACCACAAGTATCAAAACCCGATTTCTAGCGTTGTAAGTTCACAGATATACCGCTGTACAACTGGGGTACTATAAATTGTAATAATAATTTATGCATGAGAGAAGGGTGTTGGGTATGATAGTATTGTCTTTGTGGGTTAAGACTGCCAGTGTTGGATATGATAGTATTGTCTTTGTGGGTTAAGACTGCCAGTGTTTGATATGATAGTATTGTCTTTGTGGGTTAAGACTGCCACTGTTGGATATGATAGTACTGTCTTTGTGGGTTAAGACTGCCAGTGTTGGATATGATAGTACTGTGTTTGTGGGTTAAGACTGCCAGTGTTGGATATGATAGTACTATGTTTGTGGGTTAAGACTGCCAGTGTTGGAAATGATAGTATTGTCTTTGTGGATTAAGACTGCCAGTGTTGGATATGATAGTACTGTGTTTGTGGGTTAAGACTGCCACTGTTGGAAATGATAGTATTGTCTTTGTAGGTTAAGACTGCCACTGTTGGATATGATAGTACTGTCTTTGTGGGTTAAGACTGCCAGTGTTGGATATGATAGTACTGTGTTTGTGGGTTAAGACTGCCAGTGTTGGATATGATAGTAC